CATTTGCACAAGGTCTGTATAGATGCACACACATGGGGGTAGACCCCATCCCATGTGAGAGCCCCTGCACAAACCCTGTGCAAGCGGGTCTGTGCAGGAAGCTTTATTCTTATGATATAAGTTACATCCAAACAGGAATAAATTTGTCATGTTTTACGGACCAATACTTCTCGAACAAGAAAAATAGAAAGAATACCTTAACAAATGAAAGCCAGCATATGCGAAGTCATAAACCGGTGGATTCGTCCAATCAACTAATGTTGATAGTTGGAAGTTTCATGAGAAATTTGTATTTTCAATTGTGATCCCTTCCAGCTCTCTTTCTTAGTGATGCAAGATTTTTTTTTTTTGGGTGATATAATTTTTGTCATGAACTTCATTCGACCAGCTCCAAAAGGAGGATGGTAAATCCGTTCAAAACCAACAAGTACAGTCTAACAATTCAAGTACTCTATCCTTTGATCCCCCTTTTAGATAAAAACTTAAATTACTTTTTGTATCTTAGCCACATAAAAGTTGGAGCATTAATAATGTGACAACTAATTCTGAAAAACACAACCAAGCATGAGAGAAAAGAAAAGATAGAATGAAGAGAGAGAGACCTACCTCATCAACAGAATGAATATTTTTGCTGTCTGCTGTATACATAACAACATCCTGATGAGATGCAATATGGATCTGTTAGAAAACGTAATCACATACAGGCAACCACATTCTTAAACAAATACCAAACATCATTTTTTCTTATGCTATTTTCATGCTCTGCATACAATTAAAAGTGATATTGGATCAAGTCGAATTTGTAACAGGAATGTTCAACCTTCTGATGTAGCGAAGAGAGATAAGGTTTGCGTGCCACATCTTATCGAGAAAATTAATAAATGTACGTATCAAAGTTTAAATTTTTGAATATTATGGAATATACTTGAAACAAGAAAATCACTTACGCCAGCCATGGGCACAATTGTTGAGGGTTCCCCATCGTGAAAGTGAAAGAGTCCTCCTTCGAAATCCACCCCATAATTATTCAAATAACAAACTGCCTATGATCAGAGAGAGCAAATGTCAACCAGGGTGTTCAAATACA